CAGATCCAATGTTGTCTTCATGCACTCAGACATGTGGAATGGCCCTAGTGATCTCAAAGTCAAGCCAAACTACCACAATGACCCCTGTGGACACAGTACATGCAATCTACTGGGAAGGCAATGTGACCTTGCTGTTAGCAGACCTTCTCTATTTGCTGACCTACCCCTATTGACTGTTGATCTTTCCCAAGAAGCATTAAGAGAGACTCTCAACAAAATTTTTCCACGTGGTCTCAACTCTCTGTAAATGAGCAGATATTTGTCATACCTTCAGTGAATGCTTACTAGCTTGTGTGGTCTGATGGCCCTTGCAGCAACATATTTGTTTAAAAATATTAAAATTTCAATTTTCCCCCTCCTCTTGACAGAACAAAAAGCAGACCTAAAAAATAAATCGCTGCTGTTTGCATATTGTTCTCTTCACGATAGCAGAACATTTTCCTCTCTTCAGATGTAGGTTTCTCATGACAGTGTAAAAGCACTGCTCTCTCCCCTACAGTCTTCAGGTCCCTCTAGCATCCAGCACTGAGCCTTTCAAGTGCATAGTGTGTCTACTAATGCTGAGGGCTGTGGGCTCTATGAGGCCTTATTTAGGACGCTGGTGGGTCCAATGTACTAAACAGATGGACTAGTTTTGAACAACTGAAGCTTCTAGTCTCTTATGACTAGATGCTGATAAAATGACATATGCTTTGAGGATCCAGTGGCAGAAGTATGTGTGCCCTGGACCTGCACTGACGGAGTGTGCTCTGCAAACGTTGGGTTCTCGTATTGTCTTTTATATCTTTCTTACAAGTTGAGTGCAATAAGCTGTCCATAGTCCAATGGTTCTTAAGTTCTATGTGAGTTTTGTTGTGAGTTATTTCCATCTAAAGGGATATAAATTTGTCTACATTGTCAAGTTCAAGGTCAGAGAGCTAATAATCTGTGCTGATGTTCTAGCCATGTCTCCTAATGAGCAGTTCTGCCTCCCAGCCCACTCTCCTTCCACCAAGGCAACTCCCACCCTGAAGCAAGCCCGTGTCATTGGTAAGTTTGCTCCAAGCCTCATTGAAAAACCAGTGGTCCAGAGGCGATGGAATGACTGATGGTGGCCACGCTTGACGGGTAGCCCTTTATTTTTCTTCCTGTTTCCTTCTCAACTGACAGTTGTGCAATCTGATCTCAGGATTGCCAAGGCAGTGGTGATTTTTCTCAGAAGCCATTTCTTGAGAACTTCAAACCTTTCCTGTTGAATGACATGGCATCCTTCAGAAACGTGATCAGACTCTCCCCATGTGCCCTCCTGCAGTCATTAGTTCCTTTTATATATGACATGGAGAGAGGGGTGGGATTAAGTTATTGAGAGGCAGTTGTTTGCTCCTATTGTCACAGTAGGGAAACCCTGAAAAGTTCAGTGTCTCATATGTTAATGCTGCTTTTAATAAATATACTTCCAGTCTGTCCTCTTCCCATTTTATTAAATAAACATGACCATCTGAAGAAGAGATGCTACACAGTCCTCTTGAGTCTTGCCATCCACCTGGACGCTGCCATCGGTGTTGACTTCACCACTGGATCTGCTTTCCTGGTGCTTAGTAACAGGCACAGGACTTCACTGCCAAGTTCAGAGAGAAGGATGGCTTTAGTTCCACCTATGCTCAACACTTCCACGTCTACCTACTTCCAGCATGTTGGAGGAGCAGCACCCCGAAGTGGTCCTGATTAGACACGATTGCCACCACTGGGATTTGTCTTATCATAGTACATCCTGGCCACCCCAAATGAACATGCCCAGAAGTGCCTAAACCAAGAGAGCCATGTCCTGAGCAGGTCACAGAATCCAAAGATTAAATGGGAAAAGAAGTGGGGAGGTCCTTTGAGTGATGCTTCCTTTGCTCTACACTTGCCTCCTCCTTTTGGACTCTACCTTTCCCTCCTCTTCATCACTATGTCTTATTTGATGATATTACACTATTAAGATTATTACTCGAAGCAGCAGTAGTGACCTTTTCTCTCAAATTGTTCTTTCTTGAGCTCTCACTTTACCACTCTCTGGTTGTGTAAACCAGGAGTTTACCTAAGCGGGTACCTCCGCTGAACAGGAGCACTGCACATATCTCAAGGGGCTCTTTTGAAGAATAAGTGGAAACATGAATTCTTATTAGTTCAGTTTTGACACACAGCAACATTTCAATAAAAGGAAACTGGTGTTGTTATTGACATCATCATCCTTATCTTGGACTCAAGTATTCTCAGGAGAGAAGTCCTGCAACTCTGAGTCAGGATGATCTGAAGCATTGCAGAAATCCCTGGCCACTTTGTTATTACAAAACTCATCGCCAACAAATTTGGAGGATCAAGATGAAAACATTAAAGAACTGAATTCTGAAAAGGAAGAATCAGGGAAATCCGGGAGATTATGGCTATGTAGGAATTGTTTTTAAGAACAACTGAAGAAAAAGGAAGGAAAAGAAATCTGAAAAAATAATTAAAAACTTCAAAAGAGAATTAAGTTGAAGGCTTTTGCTGCACTTTATGTCTCCTACTTTTTTTTTTTTTTTTTTTTTTGTTCTAGAGTCTTACTGTTTAGATATAAAGTGTTCTCCCAAGACTCATATGTTGAAGGCTTGGTCTCCAGGGGAAGTGTTCAGAGGTGTGCTTTGGGGAAAGTGATTGGATCATTAGGGCTCCAACCTCAAAGCTGAATGAATTCATTAATAAATTCATCACCTGAATGGATTATTGTCAGGTGTTGGTAACTGGAGAAGGTGGACTCTAGTTGAAGGGAATGGGTTCTTGGAGGCATGCCCATGGGGATTCCATATTGTCTCCAGCTGCATCTTCTCTCTCTCTGATTCTGGCTGTCCTCACCTGGCTCTTCCACCATGATGTTTTGTTATCAGACCTAAGACAATGGAGCTGGCCCACCACAGACTTCAATCTCTGAACCATGCGCCAAAGTCCATCTCTCCTTCTTCATGTGCTTATGTCAGGTGCTTTGGTCACAGTAATGAAAAGATGATCAAGACATACCGTTTTCATCCATTTTCATGAAATAATACCATAATATCACTTAGAACAAACCTGATGCTGAACACTGGAAAAACAATTCATAAAAGAATATGTATAATATGAGTTGTGGCCAGTTTTCCCTCACTTTTATCATTTAGTCTGAAAACTACAAACCATTATTTAAGTTCCCCACCCACTCTTGCTTACCCCTTTCTTAGTAAATAAGTGGTATTTCATGAAAAATGCAAAAAAAAAAAAGTCTAGCCTTCAGCTCAACCCCTATTCCAGGGGCACTCTTCTTAATGTGGCATGGACTTTCAACCCCACTCCCCTTCCATGTCAACATGCGCCTCTGGAGCCCATGAATTCAGGTATTCTTGTGTGGTCCTTACTGGCTGGGTTTCTCTTTAGGATCTCCCCCAGAGAAAACAATGAAGCCTCACCAGTCTACTTGTCCTGCACCCTGCCCTCTATCACAAAGTACACCTATAATGAAAGAGGGTCCAGTAGATTAAGGGAGAGGCTGGATCTCCCCTGGAGCAAAGCCTGAGAAATAGGAAGCTCCTCTGTTTGATGTGATAGGAACTCTGGGACTTTCATCCATAATCAGAAACTGAAGAAGGTCTATCTTTTTCTTTCCCTATAGTATTACAGATTATTTCTATTAATGTGTCAAATATAATTATATCCATCTGCTTAATTGTTCTGGGTTATGACAGTCTGTATTCTGTGCCTTCTCTTTTAAATGTAATATCATTTTATTTTTAATATTTCATTCATATATTTTATCGAGAAGAGGGGAAAGGCTGAATCAAAGTCAGCACCAAGGTTTCTAAGGGCAAAAAACACAAACAACAAAAATAGTTCATTGAAGTATTCAATTCTGAGTTCCCACGTGGCACCTAAAATACAGGCTAGCTTACAAAGCAAGCACACAAAAACAACTATTTGTTTAATAAATTGTGTAGAGTCTGCTGAAAATATTATCCACATTAATTAAGCATCAACATACTATCAAATTTGAAAGAGACAATACAAATTTAAAATACATTGCATTTCTTTTTTTAATTAAAATAATTATTCACTCAGTGCAGAGACAGACAAATACAAAACCTAATTTTAATTAAAGCAAGTGCAGATGCATTTGCGTGAAAGTGAACTGGCTTTGGAAAGCGAGTCTGAATTTTAAGTAGACAAACTCAAATGAAATATGCTATTATTTTTCTGGTGAAAAAAATATATTAGCTTGAAGTAAGAAGATTTTCAAATTGTCTTACCATACAGAATAGCTGGTATCTAATATTTTTCTAGATGTTATTTTATTCTTCAGTTGATAAAATCTTCTAAGTCCCTCATCTACTCATTGTAACAACCTCGTGAGTTAGATCAGAAAGTATTTCACCCTCATTTTATAAGAATTATTTGTATAAGGTTAATGTAGCAGAGCCAGGATATTAATCTTCTAATCCTGTGGGTTTTACTCTCTGTAATCCTTTCCACATGACATGGTACAAGGACTAGGATGTTCCCCATAATTTATAGATATTTATATGGACTGCACCACAGCTCCCTATAGAATTGCCAGGGCATATGCTTCCTTAAAATTGTATTTGCATTATAAACTTAGTACTCATAATAAACTACTGAAAAGTACCGTTTTTAAATTAAGTAATGCTCACTTTTTTTTTCTAAAGTTATAGATTAAGGAACTAAAAAGTTGTAGGGCATCTGCACAACTGAAGATAGACAACTAGAGTCTAAAAAAGGAAAGAAAAAAGTGGGAACTTAAAAACCAATATCGCCCATCTCAATTGATCTATTGGCTTCTGTTGTTTCTCGTGGAGAAATGCTTTTCCCATGTAATTCTGTAGAGAAGACTAACAATTTAACGTACCAGCAACTCGATGAGATAAGCTATAACCCTTGAATAATCACCCTGTCACCAGTCTCCTTGATGCTGGAACACTAGAAATATTAACAAAGATTTAATTTCCACATTAAAATTCTTGTTTGAAATGGTTTAATATTTCATTCTATCAATTTGAAAAGATTAATATTTACTGTAATCTGCTTTATCTTGAAGTCCAATACACAGTGTTCTGAGAACATTACAATTTAGTTGCATTTGACATGCTCTGAGAAGGACGTAGATTAAATCCCTGATGTGTGTCATCAAACATTATGAAAGTGGCCAATATTACTAAAAGAGAAGAATACCCAGTTTTAATTTGTTATTAAAAGAAAAGTAACTTGAAGACACAAAATGATTGTCTGGGAAGATACAGTGTCAATGTGCAGGATGTCATCCTCTGCCTGTGAGCTGTGAACACTGGCAGCCCTGAAAGGTGTTGACTTAACAGCTTGTCCGTCCTGCAGACCGCAGGAAGGAGTAGTGTGGAGGTGCTTGATTGATGGTGGTCTTTCCTCCTCTCAGGCAATCCCTTCTTGGGAATATACCTGGGCCTTCCCAGGGCACTTTCTTCCTAGGTGTCTGTTTGCTTTCCTCCACTTCCTCCTCCTGGAGACTCTCAGAGCAGGTGCAAAAATACTTAGACACTAATAGAGGCTCCGATGATGCTCATGGAGTTAAGGATCAGGCATGAGTGGACAAAACATTTGAGGTCCTTTGAAGAGCAAGGGTACTTTAAATATCCACTTCATCTCTGCACTGAAGGGTGATGTCAAAACTCTGAGTTTAACACCCTGAGTATCAGTTTCCTCACAGTCAAATTAACATAATGGTACCTCTCTCAGGGATTTGTTCTGGTCATGAAACAAAGTTGCCACTTAGGAAAGCCCTCCATCAGCACCTGGCACATTCGAGACACATTCCTGTCAATGTCCCCTTCTAGTTCTAGACAACCAAGAGCATCCGAGTGGAGGCAGCAGAGAGTGAACTCAGGAAGTGGGGAGGAAGTTCAAAGGCACTTTGAAGGCAGCTTTACCAGTCTGCAGTCCAGGGTTGAAATATCTGAAGGCAGGTTCCAATCTTGCCACAGCAAGTCACTAAGGAAGCTGTCCACAGCCCCAAATCTCTGAATATGAGACTCAATCAATAACTGAAGTAAACTCATTCTCTCAAGATAAATTTTTGTTTCTCCTGTGTGCAGGTAGACTACCTGCCCAGAGGCTAGCCAGGTTCGGCAGCATGCCCTCCTGGCCGAAGTAAAGTTTGCTTTGCCCACTACTTCTGAGCAAGTGTTTGATTTCGTGTGGCACCTCTGTATTTCTAACAGTATGTATACACAATGTCTGTGTCATTTAATCTTTTGTTTATCTGCAGAAAGCAGTAAGGATAGAACTAAAATGGAAATCTTCAAAATCCAAAATGTCTTCAATTTAATAGCAGTTCATGCAATTCTTTATAACCAGCCTTGCACCTCAGAACAAGCTCTCCTTTAAAAAAATGTAGTGAAAAGATATGGTAGTCAGTCAGAGATAAGAAACATTAAGTACGTAGCCACTATAAAATGCATTAGTGCTAAGTATGAAGCACGGGCTACAAGCATGGGAAGACAGAGTTCTGGAACCTTCCTTAGGGTCCAATTCCTTCTTGGTTAAGGCTCCCTGGCCAAGCTGCACAGAGAAACTAGTGATATCAAAGATCAGCCCTGACTGCTAGTATTCCAAGATTGTATGGACAAAAATAAACAGTGGCTGAAAGCGCAAAACACAATTTCATTCACAAATCATCTGTTGTATACCTATTCTGTCATCCCTGAACAGTGCACCTAAAACTCAGGCTATTTGCCAATTAACCCCTAGACACTGGGTGACCATGATGCATAGCAAACAGGGTGCTAAAGAAACATTGGTAATGTGCATAGTTTTCATATTTAGAAGGAATTAATATGATTGACACAGGTTAAATAATAGGGAGCTGATGGTAATTTTAGTGAGGGGAGTGAAATACCTTAAGATGGCAAAACTGCTCCTTGTTTCAGAAAGGGTGTAAAAAATCAGTGGCTGGAAATATCAGTCCAAAGAAAAAGAGAGATGGAGACAGCCTCACATAAATCTTCCTACAAAGTAACCTCTTCCTGAAGTCAAATCCTTATTCCAACATATGCCACAAAAGTATCTCTTAACTGTAGTTTTGTTATTTAATTTAGATCAACTTGAACAAATATTGTAAAACCTAGTAGGGATTTTAGAACAGCTACCATATTTTGCAATTTTGAAGTTACATTTTCTAATAATTTTGTTTTTACTATTTTAGTCCGTTTTGTGTCATTGTCCAAAAGACCTGACAAAACAACTTACAAAAGCAAAACCTTCTTTTGGCTCACAGTTGCAGAGATTTCAGTCCATAGATGAACAGCTCCACAGCTCTGGGCGCAATATGAGGAAGAACAACATGGTGGAAGGGCATGGTGGAGGGAAGCCAATCAGCTCATGGCAGGAATTAAAGAGTGTGTTCTGCTCACCTAGAACAAGATATAAACCCCAAAGACACATTCCTAATGATCGACTTCCCTCCAGACTCACTCTACCTGCCTACAGTTCCCACCCAGTTAATCCACATCAGTGGATTAATCAACTGAGTAGTTACACCTCTCATAACCTAATCATTTTACCTCTGAGAATTATTGAATTGTCTTACATATGAGCTTTTGGGGTCACATCATATTAAACTGTAACACTTTGCTTAGTGAGCTCACTTTATTCAGTTAATTATTGTTTAATGTGTTATTTATTGAGTCCTTCCTATGCAGGAGATTAATACTTAATATATTGCAAATAATGCATTATTGAACCTCAAAATAAACCTTCGTTTGTAAGCTAGAAACTAAGACAAGTCAATACAATGGAGTATGACCTGACAAAGGACAAAGACTATCTGCAACCAATGGCTGAAATCTAAAGCCTAAGTTGTGTCAAAAATAAAAATCAGTTTTCTTTTCCTGGTCAGAATCTGACTTGATTAAGACACATTAAGAAAAAACATCCTTGGCATCAAAAAGTTTGAATTTGCATATTCCCCCCCCCCGCCACATACTCTTTTTGAGCAGTTACCTAAACTTCCAGGTAACTGATGGTTACCTGTAATTTGTTGTATAGATCATATTATAATGTGCCATCCCTAAATTGATGCTCAGTTTCCACCTTTCAGTTTAGGTTGAATTTTGCTGAGACAGCGGTTGTAGAAGAACTATCACAATGGTCAAAAACCCTGCTCACTTTGGAATCCTCTCCATTGGTGCTCCACTATGGATTTTACAATCCCTTTATTCTCATGCTGCTGTCTCTCAATTAACTGTTAACAAAATTTTCTTCTCTGGTTTGTTCGACTGTGCATTTTACAAGAACAAGGAAATTTTCTCATTAATCTTTGGCTTCCAGTCCTGAAGCAATATCTGCAATATAGGAATTTAGTGAGCACTAATAAGTGTTTGAATGTCTAGTCAAAGGTTCAAGTGGAGAGTCCTTTTCTCTCAATCACGTCACTTGAATTCTGTTGGATTATAATAGGGCATCCTCTGCTGATGTTTTAGAAGAGATTCCCATTGTGTGTGTGTGTGTGTGTGTGTGTGTGTGTGTGTGTGTGCGCGCGCACGCGCGTGCACATGTGGCAAATTATAACAGGAAGAATATCTGGCACATTATAATATGATCTATAAAACAAATTACAGCAAGTTTAAATAGAAATCAGATCTATGGAAAACAGGAAGAATGAAATATGCTACTTCAGCCCAAATTAGTCTCCACAGTCTGGTTGCCATGGCAAAGAGTAAAACACATCAAGCTATGTAATTCTGATAATCAGGAAGGAAGACACCTACCTAAATTTTCTCTTGGCATCTAATTATAAGATCATGTTATAAAGGGCCATCAAATGCTGAACGCTGAGAAATGTATCTTTGGAGGCAGAGATGGCCTAGATTTCCAAGGGGAGCTCCTCACACACAGCTCTAGTGGCTGTGTGTGACAGTCAGCCACTAGAAGGCCAGGTTAAACTTTTCCTTGACCTTTGAAACATCTGCCACCCTTGCCTCCTACTCACAGGTACTTCCTAGGGAACAAATCAGGTTTTCTTTTTAGGTCAACTTAGATTTACTTCATTCTCCTGCAGCAATGGGTCAAATGTGTCTGGCAGGGTTTTCCTTCCAAAAAACCATCATTCCTAGGTTCAGTTCTTCCCAGAATTCCATTCTCTCTTTAACCAGGCATCTGGTCTCCTCTTTCCTGAAAAACAAACAAACAAACAAAAAAACAACAACAACAACAACAAAAAACAGTACACATCCTCTGTTCACAGAAAGGAAATCCTCCTTGAGTTTATTTCCACAGCTGTCCACTTTGAGACTGGAGATACGTGAGGTAAAACTGTCAATTCTCAAACTCGGCTCCATATCTCTACAGCCCAATACAACGCCTGTCACAGAGAAGTGTGCAGAAAATGGAGAGAAGGTGATGGGAAGGTCTACACATGTTAATGGCTGAAATGGTACACGATCTCAAAAATGGACATCGACCTATTTAATGGACAGTGTACTTCAAAATGAGTCACGATTTATCTGCTAAAAGATGAATGGACATTTAGACTCCAATAAGCACATGAGATCTAAGCTGAGAGAGAGAATTATCTCCTTTATTCTGCAAAAGAATAAATTTTAGAATCTTTAGCCCAATAGCTAAATCTCTACATGAAAAAGAAACAATCAAGAATATGATGAGAGAGGATACAGAACGTGAAAAAATCTTTGCCACTTGCATCTCAGAGCATTAATCTGTAAAATATATAAAGAACTCAAAAATTTAACATCAAAAACAAAACAAAACAAAGAACCCAATTAATAAATAAGCAAAGGAACTGAACAGGCAATTCCCAGAAGAAGAAAAATGATTGGCTAACAAATATATGAAAAAAAATGTTCTGCATCTATAGCAGTTAGGGAAATGCAAATTAAAACTACTCTAAGATTTCATCTCACTCCAATCAGAATGACAATTATCCAGAATACAAGTAACAATAAATGCTGGCCAGTATATGGGGGAAAATGCACACTCAAAAATTGCTGGTGAGACTGCAAATTGGTGCAAGGAATCTGGAAAGCACTATGGAGATTCCTCAGAAAACTTGGAATGGAACCTCCATTTGACCCCAGTTATCCCATTCCTTGGTTTATACTCAAAGGACTTAAAATCAGCAGACTACAATGATATAAGCACATCAATGTTTATAGCAGCTCAGTTCACCATAGCTTAACTGTGGAACTAGTCCAGTTGAATGGATAAAGAAAATGTGGTGTATATATAGGAAATATGACATTTACTGGTAAAAGGATGGAACTGGAAAATCTCATGCTATGTTAAATAAGCCAATCCCCCCACACCAAAGGCCTAATGTTTTCTCTGGTATGCAGATACTAACTCACAAGGCAGGGTAGGGAAGAACAGAAGTACTTCAGATTAGACAAAGCCGAACGAAGGGAAGTGAGTGGGGATGTGAATAGAAAAGATAGAATGAATCAGGCATTACTTTCCTATATGCATATGTGATTGCAGAATCAATTGAATTCTATATCATATACAACAAAGAGAATGGGAAGTTACACTCCATATATGTCTAATATGCCAAAATTCATTCTAATGTCATGTATAACTAATAAGTACAAATAAAAATAAATAAATCTCTGCATGAGTTCCCAAAATATTTGTTTTGTCTCCTTTCACATTGCTTATGACTGATGATCAAGAAATTTTCATTCCATCTGTTCACAGAGGCTTGAAAGATTTTTCTTTTTTATTGTCTAGGATCTTTGAAACATTATAATTGTCACTTCCTGTGTCAAGACCTCCTTTGTCTTCTATTAGAATTAATAAGTCTTTACGACTTTCACAACTATTTTGCTTACTCTTAAGCTCCATTCTTATTTCAGGGTGCTTTATCTTGTCTTTGTCCTACTTATTTAAACATCTTAAAGATCAAACACTAAAACAAGAACAAAAACACAAACAGAAAAACAAACAAACAAACAAAATAAAACAAACAGGCTAACTTCTGGGTTCATCCCACAGCTCAGTAACACCAACATTAGAGATTTCTTTTACATTTTTTTTTAAATCAGGTCCTCCACCCATGCATTTCTTTGGGTTCTGTTACTAGGCCACACACTCTTCTCTGATGGTCTCTCTGCAATGACGTAACTTTGGTATGCAGGCGTTGGTGCCATTTTTTAGAGCTAAAGCTATTCGCATCTGAAAACTATAGTGTTTCATACCATCCTGTTACATTTTAAAGTTACCCTTTGAAGAAAGTAGGGAAGGAAAGAAATTCCATTTTGTGGACATAAATACAATCTCTGAGAATTGGACTTGCAGGTATTCATGTGGCTGGTGTATACCCACCATGTCAAATGCCATGGAACATCAAAAAAATGTAGTTGCCTGATGTGTGGAAGTTCTGAGGGCTGCAGGCAGAGGAGAGAGACACTCATGGCCAATGAAAAGATGCTGCCTCTCACATGAGTGATATCCAGCCCCTGCTGTATTTTGGTCTCCAGTAAAGTCTGATCTGTGTTTAAATGGACACTGAAAATATTTTTATCTCTTAATATGATGGTATTTAATTAAGTTAATTCTTTGAAGAAAGGCACAGTGTTGTCTTCCTCATGGTAATTGTAAGAACTTGGCTTTGGCCAGAGCTACCCTGCTAACTTAACTTGTAGCTTTAGGTAGAATGCATGTCCTCTCTGGAACTCAGTTTCCTCACTGATTAAAAATGATAGCATTAGGGGAGTTGACCAGCCACCACTGTCTTGTTCTTCGATGTGTGTATGGTCCCATATTGAATTCAGCCACGGAAACAGGGATGTTGGCCAAGAAGTGATCTCTTAAGAATGGCTCATTTTCCCCCATAAATGTTTTATTCTATCTAGTTCCCAACAATATTTATTCCACTCTGATGATGTACAGTGTGCATTTTACCAGTAATACAAGTTTCAATACTTAATGAACCACGACTATTTGTAAAAGTGATAAATCTCTGTCTTTCTACAACTTCAGTGGAACAGCACCTAGAGTAACTGAGAAAGGAAGGTGCTCACCATGTTAAATGTTGAGTAAAATCTCTTTTAAGCCTCAAATTCTAATAGATATTAGCTCAAATTTAGGTTAGCTATAATTGTATGTGTCACATTAGACTCATAAAGCTGAATTCACATGAAACTGGCAATATTGATTCTCATTTTTAATTAAGACAAATGGTGAAAAACAGTACATGTCCCAGATTCTAGGTCTTCAGCTCTGATGCATGCACACACCCATCTCATGACTACCAATCCAAACAACAGGCACCATGAAGCCCAACAGAACCCAGGGTGGGGGTTAAACATGAAATGAGTAAGTCTGCCTCTGCCTGCCCGTCTGCCTGCTTTCCCTCTGGTTCTTTACTTGTCTGTCTTATGACCTCCATTTCTATGTAATGGTTTTATTGATTCGTTGGACCCAGTGACATATTTGGCTTTTCTGGCATGCCCTTTGTCCTGGACCAAGGTTTGACTTCTTTAACCACTCATGGAGTTATGCTGAATCTGAACCCTGAAAGTGGAAACTGTTCTTGGCACTGTAGAACTTGGCCAGCTTCATACCAGGCTCACAACGGAACCATGCAAAAGAGGATTTGATGACTATATTACATGCTAGAGGAGCTTGGTCTACATCATCTGGGTAAATGAGGTAGGGTATCTGAGAAAATTTGTAAATTTTAGGGAATTTGATTCATAAAAACACATTTGACATACATATTGAATGCATATGAATATATGAATGTAAACACATGTATTTGCATATAATGATGTGAATATATAGGTACATACACACAGGTGCATAAATTGCACATATGCATTCATGGTTTTGTATATGCTGTGTGTGCATGTGTGTGCAGCATGAGTACATGGACATGGTTTACATGTATATGTATTATGTGTATTCTATATGTACCTGTGTTATGTGTGTATGTACATGTATTTGTAGACATGTGTATGTCACAGACTTAAACGACTCTATTATTTCTTTCTTTGCTGAGCAATAATCATGAACCATTTAAGCTTACCCTTGACCAATATTATCACAGGTGCGTTCATCATTTTGTATGCCGTTTGTTGTCCCCAGAGATAGATTCAGCTAATTCCTACACTGAAATACAGTGGTTCCTTGGCTTCTAGACAAATTCTGATGGAGAGCCTAAGAGCTTTAAAGTCCTTGGGTCTCCTGATCCAGGACAGATAATTCTATGCCCCCTGTAACACTCAGTGAGCTACATGCTCACTTAGAGTACCTGACTCTGCCTCCCCATCACTTATTAAAAATCTCTAACTCAATTTTAACGTCAGAATTTTCCCTCTTGACCACCCAAACCCTGCCTTTGGCCAGAATCAGGTCTTCAGGAAAGAACTGCACACCTACAATCATCCATACTACTGGAGTTATCATCAGCTCAGGGGTTCCCAGTGGATTTCCTCCGCCTGTCTATTGCAAAAATTCTCCAGCGGACTTTGAACTTTTTTGATATTGACTATCGTTTCTTATTTAACCCTTAAAATAGCAATGGCAAAACCCTCAAAGTTATTTGTTTTCCTCTAGTGGGTGTATTTTAAGACATTTTGAAAATAGCAAACAATAGCAAAAGAGGTGAACGTGGTTTGCCCTGAGTTGTTTCTAACCCCCAACCACACCTAGCTGAACAGCATCCCTGTTGAGACTACTGCTGTTCTGGGTTAATGAAGAGTGAGCAGGATGAAAGATCAGACAGGACTCCAGGATGGAGCTTGCCTCACATGCCTGTTGAAGGAGTTTATGCTGTACTTACTTGGATATGAAATAATGTTGAAAATGTAAAAGTTTAGCATTTTTGTTTTTCCAGAAATGTTTGCAGCATACCTCATTTGTTCCTTCCACCATCTTCTACTACTTAGAGGCTTTCCTCTCAGCCTTCCCTGCAGAAGCCTGCTCCTCTGTAAGGGTTTGGCCTGCTCCAGAGAATTAGACCAGATCCTGAAATGTAACTGTTCCATTTTATTTTCAACAGTGAGGATGCCCTGATTGTAATTATCATGAGTGCCAGCCAAGCCCCTTTTCCTGAATCTGAAATCCCCTTGGATTTCTTAGCACAATCAGAAAATCACATGAACTCACAACAGCAGAAAGATAAGAAGCACAAAAGACTCTGCATTAAAATGCAA